GGGGGGGGGGGGGGGAACCCTTTCGTGCCCCGGAACCTTCTCGCCGCCCCTCCCGTTTCCGGCCGGAGCCGTGCGGCGCCGGTCGCTATGGCAGCGGAGCTGTGGGGCTGGGGGCCGGCGGCGCTCGCGCTGCTGCTCGCGCTGCCCCGCCGTGCTGTGCTGCTCCCCAGGTGAGGGGGGGACGCGCCGGGAACGGCGGGGGGCACCCGTCCCCCCCCACGAGCTGCCGCCGCCCCTCGAGGCCAGGCTTCCCGACCGTGACGCCATTGGGAGGCCGCCATGATGTTTCCTCGTGCGCGGCCTCTCGCTGTGACGTCACCCCCGGGCTGTGATGACGTGTCAGTGTCTCGGAGCAGCGAGGGATGGCCGTCTGTCATGGAGGGCTGTGGGGCTGCGTGTGATGGCAGCGTGATGCCACACGTGAGGTCATTGCCGTGCTGATCCCCACGGCCCGCCGGGCCTGTGCTGCCGTGAACCGCCTGGCACCGCTGGGAGATACTCGTGCAGCGGCGGAGGTGCCGTGCCATCCATCCGCAGTTCTTGGGGCATTGCTCTGGGTTGTTGTGTGCTGCCGTGACACCCCGTGCACGGGTGGTTTTGGGTCAGAATGTTACTTTCCACCAGGTTTCATTTTCCAGTAGCAAAATGTCCCCCTCTATCCAACCCTTGTGCAGAGGTTGGACAATCCAGGCTCCTGTTGCGGCGCTGAGGTACTTTCAAACTGCACGGGAGCATCAGTAAGTTGTGAAAAGGCGCTGTTCAGCACAGCCTTTCTGCACCTCTATATAATTCTGTCATCTTGTAGAGGGCTTGCTTGGACAACCCAGTTTTAATGGCATAACGATACATTCACTGCAACACATCTAAAAATAACAATTGCATAACAATCCAATCGTGGAAAAATAGGCCTGAAGGGAACCTGAGGTCGTGTTGTCCATCAGTTGACCCGAAGGCAGCATCAATGTGTCTTCGTTTGTCAGATCAAATGTCTGAGTTTGTTCTTCAGAACCTCCAGGGAGGTTCCTCAGCCTGTGTGGTTTGTGGTGGTGCTGCATTAGCTTTTCTTCAAATCACTTTTTCCTAAATCATTGGTGTAATTTAAACTTGTTTGTTTATTTTTGCTATCTGCCATGAGCATGGAAATCAGAGCATCCCTTTGTAGCAGCCTCTTAATATTTTAAGACTGTTATCTGCCTGTTCTGTCTTATCTTCTCCAGACTAAACAACCCAATTTCTTGCAGTCTTTCCTCATAGATCATGTTTTCTAAATCTCTGATCATTCTCATCACTTTCCTTTGGACTCTTCCACTTGGTTCACATCTTTTTTGGAGGTCAGTGATCAAAAACTGGAAGCAATATGCAATACTTTCTGGGACTGAATAGAACAGAAAGATTCTCACAAGCTCCACTGTTTCCCAGGACAAGGATTTTTCACAGAACATGACACTCTTGTTTTCTTCTCATGATTTACTAAAGCTCCAGATCTATTTATTTTTTTTTTCCTGCAGAACTGATGCCTAATCATTTACTACATTGTTCGTGTTTTTGTGCATAAGAAACAACCTCATTTCATGGATCTTCCAGATTGCATACTACTATGCCAGAGTCCATGAGCCTGCAGTGAAAACTAAAGATTTTTTTCTTTTTATGTTGAGATGAGTGTCTTAGGGTACAAACATTTGCATCTTACACTGACAGCTACTTACATTTGCAAAAAGGGCCCTCTCTCTTTTTGAAAGCTCCAGCTAGTTCACTGCCAATTATTCTGTTCTTTGTTTTCAAATCTTTCTGTCATAAGAGGCCATCTAGGTGAGAAGACAAGGATTAAGTGTTTGTTGAAGTCCAGTGGTGTACTGGCTTTCCTGATCATTCTATACTTCCCATTCAAGATTTAGTGCAGAGCTTTCAGTTGTCTTTGCTGAGGGACAAAGGTCTGTTGATCCCATTGGCTTTTTCACAGCTCTGGAGAGATTACTGAAGTGCAACTCAACCATTTCAGTTTTGGGGACTAATACCCTTCTGCTAATAGAGAACATACAAAGAAGTGTTGTGTTTCTGTTAATTTTGTTACATTTTCTTTTTCATTTACTGCTGGTTCAATGACATTCAGTGAATTTGACACTGCCTTCTATGTACTCTCTTGCACGTCTTCGTAACGGAACTAGCAGCCCATATAGGAGAGTACATTCACTGAGCTAATAGATTTTTCTGTGCCTTTTATTAATCTTTTCGGCAGTTCAGATGGTTCGTCCTCTCATTGTTTGTATGATTGATGATGACAAGTGAGTTGATCAAAGACTCTGCAAATTGTAACACTGAGACAGAATCATTACTTAGAAACCGTTGTACTTGCAGTTTTCGGATGTCAATCAAAATGACTTAGAAATGAATTAGAATTACAGCACTGTGAAAAAAAAATCAGTCTTTTACACACTGAATAATCTTCGATTGAAATAATAACTGTGCTTTGCTCTCTAGAGTAGCTGACTCTCTATTGTGAGTGCTTCATGGATGAGGTCCAGCAGCATCAGCTATTCAGCTGGTTTTGCTCTCAATAGCTGCCCATTTTTCTTGTTAACATTTTTATGTTCCTGATGTCCTGACACATTTCTCAAGCTGTGGAGCATGGATCTGTTCTTTTGAGTTCGGTAGAAGTTAGGTATTTGGAAAACAGTGGTACTATTTGAGTAAAACATCTCTTGCAGTCAGCTGTTACACTGCATTGCAGCAAAATATGTGTTATCTTAAAATACTAGTGTCATTAATGGCCAGGCAAAAAATAGGTCTAAAATAAGTCCCGCTGTACTGAAGTAATCCATATAGTGAAGGTGCAGGCTTTAATTTTGCTGAAGCTGGAACTTGCAATCTGAGCTGCAGAGTACCAAGCTGACGTGTTCCTCGGCAAACCCACAGATAATCATTGTCATAGTCTCCTAAAACCATTCACTCGCAGTCTGCAAGTGGAGGTTTTTTTTTTTTTCTAATTACTCTATCCCTCTTTGAAAATTTTACAAAGCTTGCTAGTGATGGCTCAGATTGCAACACTGCTCGAGAGAAATGCTAGATTTAGATGACTCACACCCACAACAATAAAAAGTTCTGGTCTAATTCAAGACAGCTGACTACAGACTTAAATCATACATTAATGCTCAGCTGTATCTTTTTTATTTTATTGCTTCAAAGTTAAAATTGGGTTGAAAGTACTGCCCTGCACAGGGCAACATTCTGGAAGGGGTCATCACAGCTCTGGCATGGACTTTGCACAGCTGATGCCAAGAAAGAATAAGGGAACGTCAAGGCAAGATGAGAAGAAAATAATTCAGTGAAGGAGGAGGCAGTGTTATAAGATAATGAATCCCATTTCCCTGATAGTTGTAGGTCTCAGTCTATTACAAGTTTTCCCAAATACCTTCTCGAAATGAAGTTTCCTGTCTTCTTTTGGTTCTATAAGTTCTTTGCAATCTTGCCATATTAGTTTCTGCCTGAATTTCTTGTGTTTGATGCAGACTTCTGAAAAATCTTTGTCTTAAAACAGAGATTGCTGTGATGGAATTCCTCATTTCTTCAAATCCTGTTAGTTCCGTCACTGTATTCTATGGTAGTGTCCTAGGGTTATATGACAACTACCGCTCATTATAATTGGCCCAGAATATACTATAAACTTTAATCACGTAAAGGATACCACATGGGACAGGCTTTCCATGTGTTATCTCAGCAATTCTGTTCCAAGTACTTTGGACTTGCTATTCAGCTTGGCTCTGGGGGCCTATGCTGTTGAGAGAACAAGAGGGAGTTCACGGCATCATGTCTAATCGTGAAGGAGGAGTGACTCTTTGGCCCTTCCAGAGGAGATTAATTATTACTGATGTGTTGTGAATACTTGCTTTTACAAAAGTAGACTAAGATCACACTCACCTCTTTTACAGAGACAGCTTGGAAAGTTGCCAGTGGTAACAACTTTTAGTTACCTCACTGCAAAGGCAGTTTCTCCTGTGTTTATGAAAAACTTGTTCAATTTTTTTTGGTAGTATATTGATGACTTCCATTCAGATAATGTATAAGCAGTTAGTCCATGTATATGCATATCAGAAGACTTGGGTTTTTTGCCCATGAAGCTCGGTCAGCCTGTGACCAAGGCTGGTCAATTCACCAAAAGAGATATTAAAGCTGCTTCTCCTGTGTCATTGGCAGAAGCATTTAACTTTGGCCACTCTTAGCGTGAGGATACTGGGCTGTTGGGACCACTGATCAGATTAGACATGGCAATTTTGCATGTCCTTGCCAAATAAGCTCATGAATGGCTGCAAGTCACACTCAGTGCATGAACGGGAGGAATGAAGTCAAGGCAGACAGAGCTTTGCCTCAGCATTTTACCCTGAGCTAAGCCAGGTGTTGCTTGGGTAAAAGCTGTGGAGCTTTCACCTGAAAAGTATCTGTTTCTCAAATTATGCCCTTTTATTTGTGATGCTCACACTTAATGCTTTGAGAAAGAAAAGAGGAATTCATTCCAAACTTACCTGAACTAAACGTTGCTGTGTTTGCTATTTTCAGGAAATTATTACAGTCAAGGAGAGATTCGTAAGAAAGAACTGGAACAGAGTTGTTTTCTTCTGGGGATTCCTGCTTCCGATGTAACAGTCATCGATCACAGGTAACTGATTTTCATTTATGGCATAATTTCATTGCAGTTTTTAAATAGGAGATGAGGTTCACTCTAATGTTCAGTGGAAGCTTACTGTATCATTCTAAAAAGTCTTGAGGAATCTCAAAAAAAGACCATATTAGATACTTTTATTAACTCTTATTAATTAATGCAGAAGACAACTGAAGTGTATAATGGGGATCATAATCCCTAGGTTAAGTTCTGTTGACAAAGCATTTAGAATGATACTCGGGGTCTAGCAGTGTCTGTTTGGGCAGTGTGAGCACATTTTGTTACACTGTTTGCAGCGTTACAGAGACAATTACAAATTCTCTGAATTGCCTGTGGCATGTTTGCCTGTAGGCCAGTCTTTACAGGGTTAGCATGGAATTCTGTTATATTTCTATAACCTGGTTTAGTCCTGACTAAAGACAAAAGAGAATTGCAGTATTCAAGACAGTCCATAATAACATGTCAGTAAGATTCTTTCAAATTAAGCCAGGCAAGATTTCTGTTTTTCTAAGGTGTGATGTTTTCTTTAGTTGTGTGTGGATACCAAAGCAGGTGATAAAGCTGACACTTCTTTGTTTGGGGATTAATTCAGGAACTCTCTTCTGGGATGGTGATTTAGCCAGTGAATCAGGTTGAATCAGTGAAACTCAGAACTAATGTAAAGGCCTCTCAAATTGCCTGATCGCCGTCTCTCTGGGGTTGATAGGAGCTGAGATAGATATTGAAACACGGTACAAGCGGTTGTTTCAATTGTAAATAATGATGATACAATCCATAAAGAATATTTTTGTTTATGAAGACATAACTTTAATAGCAACATATTGACTTAAAACCACGACAAATAGAAAAGTCAGAGTTGAAAAAAATCTGGCTTCAGGCAGGCCCTTTTCCCATGAACATATTTTCCCTTGAGCTAAGGCAACAGAAACCACAGTCCAGAATATGAATCTTCTTGAGTTCTTTTCTTTTTTTAGCTTTAGGTTTCTCTCCAAGTTTTCAGCTCACTTAGGAAAACAGCATAGGAGTTGTTTTTCCTTTGGAATGAAAAGAGATGTTTCCGTTCACTTCTCATGAGCTGCTTTTGGATAACTTCAAGTTTTGTAGTACAATCATATGACGATGCCCAAAACATTTTGGGGAGGGATAAGGAAAAAAGCTGCTAAGCTTTGCTAAGCATAAAGTCTGCTCAATGAACCATCTTCTGAAATTAACGCAGAGCCCAGAAACCTACTGGCTTTTCATCCTCGTAACGCAGTGGGAGGTTGGTCAGTCTGTGATGCAAATTTCCCGATACTTCTCAGTCATCGCCCCAGCGTACACAGGCCAGAACACTGCTTTTTGCAAGTAATATTTTGGTTTGCTGTGTAGGAAACTGAGGGCCATTTCAGAGAAATAGCTTGGATCATGCCTCTTTATTACTTTCATTATTATTATTACATATATTTATGTAAGTAATGACTGATACACGATTCCCTGCAGTGAATGCAGTGCCTGAAAAGACAGATCCATCCCATTGCCCAGAGCTTCTAGGCATGGACTAGAATGTACATCAGTGTTCTAAGAAACAGATTTAGATTTCAGGTCTTTATCTCTGGGGTTAGATTGTTATGGGATAACCATCATCTACCTTTGTTGTGCATTTAGGGAGTGAACTGAAGTTCTGGCTGAATTTTGCTCAGAGCTTGTTTACACAGTGAAGTGGTTTCCAGTGCATTATTTACTCTGCAATAGCTCACCATGTGGATGCTCTTTATGAAAAACATCTGTGGATCAGGTGGTAGCAATATGGTAGAGGATTGGGTATAATCTCTAGATGACACTGAATTTTTAGAGTAGCTAATTGTTGGAGTACTGTTTTCCAGCAGTTTAGACAAAGCACTGGGACTCAAGGCTCTTAACACTTACTCAAAGTTCCTGGGTTCCTTAAGGTCAGTAGCTTTCCTATGCCTCTGTTATGACTTCTGTAATTTACAGGTTATACAAAAATATTTACCAGTATGGCACAATGTGAAACTTGCTAAATAAGTATATTATCTACTGCTAGATTTCCATGTAAATTGATGTCTGTGGAATACAGCTCAGGAGGCTTTGCTCTTTAGCATTTTATCTTCTGTAGGCACTGTTTAAGACCAGAGCCCTTTGGCTTTTTTTGTTCCCTTCCTAATTCTTCAGAAGATAATTTTCCATCAATGTAAAGAACTAGCACATTGCTTAAGGACTGCTGCTGGCATGCTGCCCATCTAACATTTCTTATACAAACACTGGATGCTCTACTTTATCCAAGCTGCAGAATTGTATTTTGGTAAGGAAAGCCCAAAGGATTGCTAGGTCTGGATCTGCTCCAGCCATTGTAGTGTGGAGCTGAGTCATGCTGCTTCCTCTTTCTTTGCATGATCTACAAGTGAGTGAGTAGAATTTTCAAGATGTAAAAGGGGAAATACATCTGAAAAGCAAGGTGATTGACTTGCTCTGCAGTCTCACTTGGGCAGGCAGGTATAAAATCAACGTGACATTTTGAATTGCGTGTGAACTTGTAAAGAGAAAGCTTCAGTCAGTCAGCTTGTGATGAAATCTGTGTTAAAGACTAAATCCTTATTAAGCAGTCCCTTGCCTTACACAATGACTCTCTCAAGTATAGCCAGGATTCCTAGAGACTCGATTCAGGCTCCATCAGACAACTACTTTACACTGATTCTTCAGCAGGTATTTGGTGTAGTCACTGTGTTTGTCACCTCAGTTAAAGACAACTCAAGTCTTCTGCACAAATATGGTCACAAACTACCCACGTTTCAGCCCTAGAGATCTGAGGTCCACATGAATCCCCCTCTGAAGAGTTCTTTGCTGTAGAGGGCAGGAGTGGAAAGGGGCAAGCATTACCATGCAGCACCCAGTTGCTGTAGGTGAGCAGATGGCCATGCAGACAGCCTGTTCTGGACTACTTTAGACTAGAGCACTGGACTCTTCCTCCTTGTGAATAGTACAGATCAGGCACCAGATTTGCAGAGGTGTCCTCTGAGCTGGCATGTAATTATCATAGCTCCAACACCACACCAACTGAACAGCTGCTTTTAAAGGAGAAAAGTTTTGCATTCCACTTTTGTTACCATCCCCACTTTAGGCTTAGTAGTGAGCAGCCAAGCTCAGAATTAGAACTTGTATTGTTCAAAGTTAATTTCTGTGGTGTCACAATTATTCCTGCTGCTGGGTGAGGGAGGAGTTAGCAAGACAGTGAGCTCTGAAACTCATGTAAGATAAAAGTCACTTCATTAATTATATGAATGGTAATGTAAACTCTGTGCTTTCTTTGTACATTTTTATCATCTTATCCCACAACAGTGGACTTTCTTGTAGCTGTAAAAATAAGAGATTTATTTTATCTTTTTGTGCCATGATACCAGCTTAATTTCACAAAGACTGGTATGGTTCTACAGATCTGCAGTTAGGGTAAAATGAGCATAGCTAAAATATAAATGACATAGCTACCTATAGTGCAAACACAGACTAACTCAAGTGAAAAATCCACTTCAGTGATATGTCTAAAATAGTAGATACATCAGATGCTGGACATTTCTCTGGTGGCAGAAGGGTCTAACTTGAAAAACATTTGGCTGCACTGCAAACAAAAAGGGACATCCATTTTCACCAAAAGTTCTGTTGTTCTTTAGGCGTGTATTAGACTTTGCTGCCAGATTTAGCTTAAATTGCTCTGGTAACATAATGGGGAAATGATCCACGTAAAGGACATGAGTCCTTGCTGAGCAGGGCAGAACTCCCCCTGTCTTGGGCGGAACAAGTCTGAGTAACTGATTTGTGCTCAAGATGTGTGGTAAATGCAAGGTTCAGCTTAGCAAGAAGAGAGAGAGAGCTTGTAACCAAGTGAAAAGTGAGTCCTGCATTATCATAAAACACAGAGATGCTTTTGCTTTCCGTCTCTTTAAAATATGCAGAAAAGAATGGTTCAGTAACAATGTGAAGAGAAAAAATGTTCACAGAAGAGCTGCTTTGGGTGCTGTTCTTTGATATGGCACTGCTACGTGGTTTTTGGTTATTGCTCTGTCTGGTCTTGAGAACACAGTGAGATGAAGATGCTCTAGTCTCCAAAACCAGTTATCAGGTCACAAGCCATTGCCATGGTTTTGGACTTGTAAATGTACTTTGTTGGGAATTTACTTATAGCTGAGAAGGCTATCTGTAAGTAATTAATCTGTGAACACATGCTCCTGACCTAGAAAGCGCTCTCTAATGGTATATGGAAAACCAGGAGTTAGTACTTAATTGATCTAATATTAAGAGTTAGTTAAGCTCCCATTAACATTGGGCACATCTGCCAGTGCTCTGGCTGTCTCCTAGTCTGTAACGTTACACGTAAATAGGAGATGTTTTCTAAGCTGTTTTCACTTTCTGAAGAGAACAGGAGAAAAGGAGGCCCAAATTATTATTTTTTTTCTAATATCTGTTTTGGGTTCATGGAAAAATAAATATCAGGCATTTCACTGCAGCTTCTGAAGCTTTTGTGCACAGTCGTACTGGACAGAAAGTAAACCTGACTATCTGCATCTTAATTATGACAGAAAATATTTGGCCCAAGTTTGCACCGCAAAGAAAATAATAGCCGAGATTTGTGTAAACTAGAAAATTTTCCATTCACAGTACAAAGACTTACTGCAAATAATGTTACATCTGTTTCCAAGTTTCCATGGAAATTGCACTCCGTTCGCTTTTTTATTATTATTATTTTACTTAAGTCCAAAAGGGCTCTGATCAGACAATGCACAGGAGAGAAGACATCTGCCCATGCACAGGCTATCTGCAAGTTTTTTATGAGGTTGCAGAGAGGTTAAAAATCTTTTTTTTTTTTTTTTCCCCTTTTTTTCATATAATAATTCTTTACTGTTGGGCTTGGTTTCCCCCACACAAGGTAAATAGTCTTTATTGCACTTCCTCATGCTTAACTTCTAACGAACTTCCTTCCACAAGCTCCCCATGTCAGAGAAGTG